GGGATCTAATTTGTAAATCCTTGGTAAGCGCCATCCCGGCTATCGTTAGAAGGCGGAACCCTCTGACTGTTCCGGACCTCCTGACCTCGCTGCTCCGGGGTCTCTCCAGGAGTATTCCACAGTCACCCTGACACGGATCTATGTACATATACCTGAGTGGACTACATTGTCATTGGCAGCGGCGTGTTAGGGGGCAGCGTTCAGAGGTGCGCATTTTTTCTGTTTCGGCGAGCGATAGCCACTTACATCATATAAACTCGGAAACCGGGTGCCGGCGTCCCAAACCACCGTCTCACACATGCTCGATCTGCTCAGCCTTTTACAAGACTACTTCACCGATGCAGTGTCAGCAACAGTGATATAGACTCTTCCTTGCGCTCCATGGCCCCTTTCCCCTGTTTTAAGCCTCCTGCCGAAGACGTCGCTGACTAGGCATCCGTGAAAGGCGCGCCTATCTTTGGGGAAACAACCCCATCCCCCTCCAAAAGTCCCTCCACTACTGCGACCCATTCTCCATCTCCCATCATACCTATTATCTTCCTGAATTCCCCCAGCTTTCTGCTTCTTGAGGGGTTTCCCTGAATTCTCCTGTTTCACCCCCAAAAATTCTCCTTCTTATACGACCCCCTCACGGGGATCTTCAACGTGCATGTGTCCTGTGTGGATGGTGACTTTGGGAGCGAAAGCAGCAAGAATGGTGGGGGAGCATACAAATACACCCAACGATTGGATGTGACTGCTAGCACCCTTTGACGCTAAAATGGTTCACAGAATGTCTTTCCTTCGTCCTACCCCCGCCGAGTGGGACGCATCGTGCCTCTGAGCTCAGCGGTGGCAACTGTGGTGTTTGTGCCTCAATGAGGCTGCGCTCTGAAACGTGCATCGTCACCTAATGGTGGTGTAGAATAATGATTTTTTTTTTCAGAAATTGCCGTTAGACATATGATGCTTATCGGGAGGACTATGATCGAGCACGACTACTCCACTTGATTGGCAACGTTTCCAGCCATGTGGAGCTTGCTAAACGTTACACTGGATCCATGAATCAGCTCGATATGCCCAAGGAATTTGAGACCATTGCTAGAGAACTTCACTTCGTGGACCAATACCCTCATCTACACAACAAGTATGCCAAGGTGTTTGCAGGACTTGAGAGTGTATTCTACAGAGTGATGGAATCAAGTGAGCAGAATGAGCAGAGTTTTGAAATTTGCAAGGTCATTGGAGAGTTGATAGACTCAGTTAACATAATGTATGAGGACCTAAAGCATCACAGCTCGTACAAACTCAAGAAAGGAGGGGGGGGACGTGGAAAATGTTGGACAGCTACGTCAAAACAAGCCAAGGAATATGCAACAATCGAGCACGGAAAATGTGAATTCAAAGAAGCATCTCGCTTAATGAGGACCGTAGCCGCTCAACTGAGAAAAGAAGATTTGGCCTTCCAGTGATCTCTTTGTTTATTTTAAGAACTTTCGCAAGATTGGCTGTTTTCCCCTATAGCAATGAATGTTCTACCTGCAATTCTTAAAGCGCAAAAAGTGATAACACTCAGTAGTTGGCCGTGACGACAGCGCGTGTCAGGCGAGATGAGTTTGGCGCGATGCCAAGTCCGTTCACCACCAGCTGTTGAAGTGAGCAGTGACAAAACTTTATCATATCGTTCGTATCACTGTTGTCGCATACCTGCTTCAACAGCTACCAGAGAATGAGTTTCGCGACGTGGCGCACAGATACTGCCTGACACGCCCCTTTATCCGCAGCGAACTAGAGTATACACACTTATCCTACTCTCACGAAATGATGAAGGACAAAGTTTCCGCTGTTGGTCAATCCCTTTCGGTTGCATGGGCAAGGGTCCAAGTCAGTGTTCCTATTCTCCCAGACAAACCTATTACCAATTCAGCGTTCCTGGAAGAAAGAAGACCTGCTTGGAGGGGCGGAAGCCGATACGGTATTTATCGCACGTACAGTGCGCTCCGTAAGCGCGCCACTCATACATATATGACCGTAATTGCTTTTTTGATGATTGATCCTCTTCACGATGACATTCGGAAACTAGCCAACGCACAGTTTACTGTATCGCCCTCCCAGAAGAATCTGGCACCATTTTACCGGCCCCGGAAAGACGCAAGGCTTGGTTGGTCCGTGTTGAAGCCCGAAGCCATTGCACTTACTGCTTTTGCCCCACCCCCATCCTGTGTAAAAAGCCTACAAATTGCTCTCCCCTGCGACCAAGAACCATGAAAATGTTTATCAGATTAAGGAGGAACAAGGAAAGACCGCGCCTCACACATGGGCTGCAATCCACGTTGGACGTCTGGGCGGAGCCAGTCCTGTCATTGTGCCTCCCTCTTTGGCGAAGTGTCCCTCTTTACCTTGAAAACGACTAGCGCCCAAAAGAAGAAGGCCACAATGGCAGGACTAACTCCACCTCTACGACCATCGTGGAATGTGCTTAGAACAATAAATGAAAAGTTAAAGTTAAAGTTAGTTTAGTTAAATAGATGAAAAGTTTCAAACAAGTACATGCAGATCTTATGAAACAGCTAAAATCACAGGCTGGCGAAGACTTCCTTCCCGAGGCCATTTCTCACAAGAATCGGCTTCTCGTGGACGTAGTTGTCGAACCCGTATTTGCCATTCAGTCGACCCATGCCACTGTTACCAATACCGCCGACAGGTAGAGTGTCCACTAAAAGTGAGAATCATTACAAAAAAGGTGAATGGCCCGGCTCCGTTCGGCTTGAAAGGGGCATACTTCACTTTTGCTAGTTTTTCTGCTAGTTCCTGTTGAAAAACACTTCACACTCCAATGAGACCTGTGGACTTCTTGTCAACCGCAACTGGAGGTACTGCTACTGGCCTACTTCTTTAGGATTTTACAGCGTCTCACTAAGCCATCAGCCCTTCAGCAAGTGCCCCCCACTAAGTCGAACTGCGCCGGTTCAATTGCTCACCAAAAGCGTGGGACCGATCAACATCGTCAGCTGTACTCCGCCACTGGGACGTCTCCAGCAAAGAAACGTTATCGCCTGGAAATCAAGTATCTTGTGGATAGGTCTAGTCTACAGTCAATTATGCCAATCAGGCTTACCTTTTCGGATTCTTTTCGCTGGAACGAGGTAGCAGCGAGGGTTTTTCGTTATCCCTGACCATTCGATAGCTTCGTCGAGAAGCATTTTACGCGTCACAATCGGCAAAGGGTCCGAAGCATCTAAATTCTGGTTCAACATTGGGCCCTTCTCTACTCGTTGAAAATATTAAATGCACAGCACATGGGAGATAATACCTCGTCTTGCATTAGAGAACGTCATCGTTTTTCAATTTCGATCACGTCTGGTGCGGCAGGAACTCTCATTCCGTGCAGGATTCTTACGATTGACTTTGTAGACAATTTACCCTTTGGTGTTCTTGAGCCAGAGAGAAAGTCACTGAAACACTTGTTTTGGTTTAAACATTCATCACGATCATCGCGGGATATACCTTCCTGGAAACGCAACGCCGAGCAAGGAAGTGAAATCCACAGATTAGCTCTTTGTTAAGTCTTATCACTGAAGTCAATCGGCGGCCGTGTGACAGTGCGAGCGAAAGTTTTGATGCTGCACCAGCTTGTTTCCCACTGATCGATGTGGCTTGAGGCGCTGGGAAAGATGCTGGCGCCGCGCCAAGACCAATGCGCCGTTGGCACGCCCCTCGACTGACCCCGGTGAAAACGAAATGGATGTTTGAACAGGTCAAGCAAAGCGAAACTGATTGATATGAAAACACAGCTAAGACTCTTCACCAGAAACCCCCTCCCTCTTCGCTTGTGCCCTTAGATGGTCTAAGAATCGATATCCATTGAAAACATACTCGAAATGCCTGTCGTTGATGATCCGAGCGAAAGCTTTGTTCTGCTTGAACGGTGCCATTTCTTCAAAGTGTTTCGTTAAAGCAGCGAATGAGCTTCGGTTTGATTTCTTCTGTGGTGAGAACCTGAATTTTACGTGGTCACGTGAACTCAAGTGCACTCCATACCATTAAGATGAAAGGGGCATGGCTCCATACTCTGAGCTTTGGTTTGGTTGCTTCTGTGGTGGAAATCCGAATTTTACTTGATCTCCAGGCATATTTAGGAGCGATTATTCTTGGGTGTAGAAACCAGAAACTTTAGGTGAAAGGAGAGTCAAAGTCACTGCCGCAACCCGGATCTCCCGACCGACACCCGTCTGTGACACATTGGCGTATTTACGCACGGGCAGAGGTGCGGAAGAGTTGGTAGTGCCGCTGCAATCCGTATGGCTCCAGTATGGGTTCGAGGGCAGAAGTCTGACAATAATCGAGAGCACCCATTCACCCAGGGCCAGCTACTGACACCAGACAAAACCTGGACTTAAAGTCATGGCTTGAGCATCTAGTTGCCCACGTAACCCATTCTATAGGCCGCTAGGGAACACTAAGAGTACAAGGGCACGGAATCCCATCTACGGATTGAGGTTCCGTGCCCTTGTACCGTGCGAATGTGGGATCGTCGTCACTCAGTAGAGTTGTCGCACTTCAAATTGGTTCAGCTGCACCAGAGATCTTTCTCTTTTTCTTCCTGGGCGAGCTCCTATTCTACATTGCAGTAATTTGTTTTGCCCTAAGAGTCTTTCAAATGCCCTCTAAGGCTATAAGCTTCCTGATCGGTGCTCGATGTTATATGCGTGGCGCATCCAAGAACGAGTACCGATAAGGAAAACGACTCATTCACTGCCTGTGCTTGTTACACTCCTTATCCCTGAGCCAGAGTAGGCGTGGCATTTGAACATGGCACGGAACTGGTTACTCGTGGAATATTCCAGTCTGGGACAACTGTCATCTTGTTCTGTGTTGGACAGAGACACGACAACAATTGTGTCAAGATGAAAATATCTCACCAGAAGCATAGACACCTTCAGGTTAAGTTGAAACATGCGGCCACGCCTACCCGATCTCAGGGATTTCGAGTATATCCCCACAGAGTAAAAACACTCACATAATCCGAAGAGAGGCAGATCTTGACCGCAGTTGTACATCTTTGAGTAGATTATTTTTTTCACTGCATCTTCAATGTCGGCGTCAGCGTCGATGACCACAGGGCTAAACAAAGCTTTTGTCGTTGTCGTTTTGAGGAATACTTCACCTCTCATTCAGCTAGCATTCATGTTTGTGGCCCAGAAGACTCGGCAAGTGACGTCACGCGCGCGGTATTCGCACCACGACTTGATTCGTTCAAGGAATCGAAAAAAGCGAAAAACGCGAAACCAAGTAGAGCAAAAGTTAGGGTGGTTGGGAGATCGTTTTCCAACATATGAACACCTGTGAAAGTCGGAATTACTTTGGGAGGGGTAGGGAGGACATGTAAAGTGCGCTCAAAATAGGAAATCGAGGAGAACAGCCGAAGGCGTTCCTACGATCGCTGGCGCACGTCCCTAGGACTCCCAATGTACGACGTGCCGTAGCAGTACTGCGAAACGCCGCTCGTGTCGGCGTGTGACCTGGACCTTCTTACCTGCTCTCAGTAACTGTGATTACATGGCGCAGCTCGGCGACATTGGGAGGGGCATTTTGCACTTTTAGCTCTGCACTAGTTTACGCTTTGCAAATCTCACTCTGGTGGAACCTGCGAACTCATGTGAAGCTGGAGCAAGCTCGACAAGCCACCATGGAAAACCTGTTAACTCAAGGAGATGCTCTCCAGATGGGTGGACACTTCCATGGGAAGTGGCAAGAGGCTACCCTCCAATCCGGTGGCCGTGCGCTTGAATTAAAATATTAGTAGATGCATGTTTCATCCTAGTGATGGCAAAATCGCTCCAACAGCGTGCATCATCGTGTGAGTTCCATCAAAAGCGAGAGTGGAAAGGGGGGGGTATGGAGAAGATACCGCCATTTCAACTAATCATAAGCTGTTGCTTAGGTGTTGTCTGGTTTGCCTAGCGTCTGAGCCGTTACAAATTGGATGTTGCCTGCTCGTGGAGGGGTAACTTCATTGGGTTGAGGAGGCAAGAGTGGTCCCGGTAGAGTGATGGATAGTGCAACCGCCGGTAAGCGGAGATGCGGGTTCCAGCACCGCCCTGGGTCCAGCTTTTGCCCATATGTCAGCATTCTTGTGATAGCTGTAAATTCAGTTTGCGCGAGGTTTGAAAGTGATTCCCGGTGCTCCCAATTTTCTTCCCATTTCCGCTTCCAGTTGAGCTGAAGACTTCCTGCTTTAAACAGCGGAGAAACGACTCACTTCTTGCCGCCGAGCTCCAGGAGCACTGGCGTTAGGTTCTTGGCCGCAGCTGCCATTATCACTCTGGCCACTGTGGGATTACCAATGTAGGTGATGTGATCGAATCGTTCAGCAAGCAGTGCCGTCACTTCAGGCACAGCTCCTTCGACGGCAGCGAAGAGCTTCTGGAATAGAAATACCATTTTATAGTGCTGGCACTGGCTGTCAGGTGTGGGTCAGGAAAGCCGAGTTGCGCAGATACGGCTCACGCAATGCTGGAAGCATGTTTCGGGAGGGAAGAGGACGAATAATCGTGCGACTGTTCATCCGTGACCTTTCCCAGCAACTCGAATCTTCTGGCTCCACAGCCAGCTACTTATGATGCGTGACGCGCTCTGCATGGCTATCGCTTGCTGCCGGGCTCTATCGCCAGTTGGTTGACACTCTGATTGTGAGCACCCAAGGCTGCGTTCACACTTTGCGGCAGTGTCCACCTAGCGTTAGGAGCGTCCGTCAGCGTCAGCGACTAGGAAAGTATAGATATCGATCCAGCGTCTGCCAGTTTCACCAGCGACCGGGAGTAAAGAGTATGGGGAAGTAGGAGGGTAGCAAACAGCTGTAATAATCGTCGCGAAAGTTGCGGTTGTGCAATCGCACCGCACACGCAGAATTCTGCAATTTAATGTACGGTGTATTGTAGGTACCGTGTGGTTGCCCGCGCCACAATTTCACGACGGTATGCTGCCGTACTGCTTCCCCATGCACTCCACTCCTGCTGAGCGCTGGTGGACGCCAGTAGACGCTGGCAGACGCTAGGTCGATATCTATACTTTCCTGGTCGCTGACGTTACGGACTCTCGGAACGCTGGGGATCGCTGGCAGACGCTGGTGGACGCGATCGCAAAATATGAAGGCAGCCTAACCATGCGGTTACAAAATATTACAAAATAATATTGATAAATATTGAATAACTAAGCTCCTACTTTAGGTACAGACGCACCTGATCGAAGTGTTCTCCAACAAGACGTGCGAAAACCGACGAAAATGTTGAAGACAGCTCAGACAGCTTCAGAATCACGGTGTTTCCTACAACGATGTTGGAAAAATTATGAGGTAAAAAACAGTCAAAGGTGCAG